AGGTGTAATCTTTATCAATATAAATCCTTTTTTTTTATTCTTTTGTGTATATCAATTGTGCTCATATAGGTAGCACACCTCCTTTTATCAAATTGACTATGTTAATAATTTCAATAATTTTGTAAACTTCTTAGATTGTTGAATTAACTTACGTATTGAAAATATTCTTCAACATTACTAAAAAAAGATAAGGCTATTTTAATTTCCATTGTATTTAATTTTTCATTGAAAATGAATCATTACTTATAAGGGTCTTATTTACCTGTTTTCCATTCAATTTCCACCAATTATCACAAAATACGAAAGAGCCACTGACACAAGACTAGTTTACAACAGGCGTTGTAGCAAAGTACCGTACGCATTGGTTGTAAAAGAATAGTACGAGGTTAGGAGGTAGACACTCTCTGTAGCACCACTACCACGATTACTATTTATTATTATTTTTGTAGGTAATAAGTGCAACAGGTAGGCAGGGACTTGTTATTAGTTATTGCAAATGTACGCATACAAGCATGCACAGATAGAGACGACAGCGGTGTATTCGATAGAGCGCTGGTCAACTAACCGGTCGTTGTCTAGTTGGAAACTGTTATTGTTATTGTTGTCTTTAAGAAATTAGTTTTCATTTTCAATTGAGCCGAAACACTTGACCTCTTATCAGTACTACGCTACGTTTTTCGCATTAATTCTTAGATTTTCCCCTCGGAGTTTGGGACGTTTTTCGTAGCCATTGTTAGTTTTTCCCCTAGATGGCGTTAAAATTGACCAAACCTTTTCTCCAATTTTAAGCATATCATTTCGACATAGGTATTTTTTCAACTTCTATTCGCAACCTCTATTATTTCAAATGCTAGATTCTTTCATTTTCTTATTTAGTATGTCAGAGCCTACGGGAAATTAACCAGTAAACCTCTTGGCGGAAAAATTATCCTATGGAATCAGAATAAGTGCATTTTCCTGTAGTTTAAGTTAAATAAAAAATACGAATAATTTTCCAGTGGTTACAACTTTATACATATTATGTGGTGTTGTTTATTATTTTTCAGCATCCTTGCAACAACCATCTGGTCGCACTTGGCCTTCCAATACCTCGTGTAGTTCATTATACGTATTATGTTAAAGACGTTCGAAAATCTTCCTTTAATGCTACCATATAATATTATAATTTCAATGTCGTTACAAAATTCTTGAAGCATGGCATTATTGTCAAAGTTATTTCAAATAGCACTTAATGAGCTACCAATAGTAAGAAAAACTTTTAGGTACTGTTATTATAAAAAATTATCCGAATACAATTTTAATTTTGATTGACACTTCTTAAAAGATATACGCAGAAGAATTGTAGAATAATGTATCATTAAAATCAATTTTGCAATAAATAATTTTATGTAGGTAGGTAGGTATTTATTTTTTAATAAATTAATTAAGCTGCATCAGATTATAAATAATTAAAACCTACTTTATGTCAGCAAAATTGTTCGATACTCATTCGTTAATTCGTTCCACTCAAAATTCAGTTTCTTTTAATGCCAGCTTTTTTCAAATAATAATTACTGTCAGAATCAAATAAATTTAAAGATAAAAAGTTTACATAAATTAGTCNTCGACGTTTTAAGGAGTTTGTCGTTAAATCGAGTGACGTTATAAAGAGTTTACACTGTATTTAAAAATTAAGTGGTAAATTGTCTTGAATTTTGCTCCAACTCTAACATAATTGGTAGCGTTGACGAGGTCCAAGTTGGAGAAGTTTGACTTGAAGAAAAATGGCGATGACTTCACCACTAAACAATAAAAGAAATTTCTTGATATAAAATTGTTGATGACATACATTCATATGTATAATATATGAATGTACAGACGGGAATACACTGATACCTACATATAAATCGGAAGTAAACACAATACGTTAGCAGACTACCTTGAAATCGCTTTTTGTTATAAAATATGCATGGGCATTCGAAATACTTGTTTTTCATTTCTTCTTAATTAAAACACGATGAAGATCAATTGAAAGAGAAGCAGGATTCTGATTTTAGCTCATAAAACATTATGTAGTTCCTCTTAAGTATATTATACAGTGCGTTAAGTTAATTGGAATAAAATTATTTTCGTTATTTTCGCTTAAAATCGAAAGAAAAAGACTAGATACTAGTGACGAGTAGAATTGGCTTTGGTCTTATAGTGTTGGTTTTGAGGAACTATAAAACTGTATTTATGCAAACAAGACCAGGATCAAGACCGAAAGGACAAGACCAACACTAGACTTTAGACACAAGACTAAAACTAAAACCGAATGTGCAAAATCAAGATCAAATACGCAAGAGTTTTCATAATTCTCACAATCATCGACACTATTTTCCTTAAGTCATGACAGTCTCGGATGTATGACAGAAAATTTCATCATTTAGGACAATTATTATGTCAATAAAAAGAATAATTCATGCCTAAATTAAATTATAAAAAAAAAACATTAAGTATTACCAAAGCTGGGACAGTCTTGGTCTAGGTCTTGCTTTGGTCATCACTTCCAGATACCATATACCATATAAATTTTAAGAAAAGAGGAACGTGTTCCTCTGCCTGTTTGTCCGTCAAAAGTATCACTAATCATCAAAACCTACTTCTCATTTCTAGCTGAGTATGATCCTTAAATTTGCACTGAAGGAAAATGCTGTGGTACAAATTCAGGAAAAACTCCGAGATAAATGTATATTTGCCAGAAAATTTTGATTTAGTTGCTCTTGTAACTGATATTAATCAAGTTAAATATAATACAGGATGAAAACTGTATTTATCAAAGCGATAAAGTGTCAGCTAAAGAAAAATCAATTTTCCTTTTTTAGGGGTCGCTTTGAGTATTAAAGTACAACGTTGGTTGTTAGTAGCGATGATCTAATTTTCATTTTCTTATTAGCTTTCGCAAAATTGAGTTCATGCAGAGAAGGAAAGGTCAATTTATTTTCATTATCATTTTAACTTGCGTAATTATTATTCCATAATGAAAGAGAAAGAGAGTTTTAATTATGTTTTTAGTGAATTCTTTTGTTACGCACAATGTTTATTCATAAATCTTATTAACACTTTACAATGAAAATGCCTTACTTTTGCGTGTGGATTACATATCAAGGCATTAATAACCAGCCAGATATGTATTTAGGCAATTTGTCGGAGATTGGATACGTTCTTTTTTCTCAAGAAATAGGCATTTCCTTGTTTCTTATGTTGCACCAGCAAATGCTTGCGTTCTTCGCTTAAACTATTACTTTTACATTTACTTTGACACTGTTACGCTTTCAACACACCAGAGCAAAAATAAATTTTACAATCAAACGATTAAAGACTTGAGTCTTACTATCCGTAAGTTGACGGTTAACAGCCGCCCGTCAGATGCTCGTCAGGTTTATGTGGTATTCTCATTGTACAGCGACCGTCAGTTTTTCGGCAATTGTTTAGAAGGTTAACAGATTTTCGCAGCAATGTTTACAAAAAAAATATTCGCTTATTAATTTAGCAGTTACTACTCTTTTATTGGAAGAAGAAGATGAGGAGATGGAAAAGTAGAGGAAAACAAGAAAAGTGGGAATATAAAATATTTTTCCATATTTTTTTACTTGCATTACTGTAACTATATATATTTTGTTTTAAATAGTATAAACACTCATACGTTTGTACTTCATCATCATCATCATCATAAGGTCATCAGTCCTAAGACTGGTTGGACACGTACCACCACTCTTTCCTATCCTGAGCTAAACTTCGCATTTCCCTAAAACTAGAACAGTCCACATCCTTAACTATTTGCGAACAGTAATCTAATCTAGGTCTACCTCTACCCCTCCTAACTCCTGTTTATGCCTCTAATATGTCCCTAATTAGACCTTCATGCCTGAGAAGGTGTCCTACCAACCTATCTCACCTATTTTTTATTGACTTTTTCTGCCTATAACTCCACATTTCGAACGCTTCTAACCTTTTCTTTTCCGCCGCTCCCACTGTCCACGTTTCGCACCCGTACAATGCCGTGCTCCAAACGTACACCTTTAACAGCCTCTTTCGAATTTCTAAATTAATCGTTCGCGAATATAGAAGTGACTTCTTTTTATTAAAGGCGACACGACCCTGCGCTATCCTCTGCTTTATATCCTTACTAGTCCTTCCATCCTCACTTATCTGACTTCCTAGGTATCTAAAATCAGCCACTTCTTCTAATTCTTCGTCTCCTATCTTTATATTCGCTCGTCCCCTACTTTTTCATGTCTTGCATACCAGTATTTTAGTTTTACTTTTATTTATTTTCATACAGTACTGATCTGTCAGTACCCTTTTCATTTTATTTATAGCTATCTCTTGGTCCTCCTTGCTAGATGCTAATACTGCTATATCATCTGCAAATCTAAGTTTGTACTAAAAGAATCAATTTTTCGTCCTTCTTGCTGGGTACTAACGGATTGAATGTATTCTCATTATCCAGCAACTTAATCGGAATAATACTTGCGATGCAAAGGAAGTGTCATAACGGATAAAAAGTAAATTTTTGCAGAAGCGGAAGTGTAATGATTTTAGGTGACTCATTAATGCAGTAGCCGTGCGCCCTTTTCGCGAATATTTCGTTACAAATTTTGCATTTGGCACTTGAATCGTTATTATCAACAAAATGATCCCAAATGGAACTTCTTTTTGGCTTCAAAATTGCACTTTTAACTTACAATTTACACCACTGAGCAAACACTACATAAAATAAATAAACGCTACAACTGTATTAGTATTTTCAAAATGAAATTATGTAGGAGAACTGGCTAAAGGGAAGTTGAAATTTCTGGATGCTTTTAGATTAAAATAGGAAACTAACATACGAAATATTAGGAAATGGATTTGGGCCCTAAACTACATAAAATAAATAAACGCTACAACTGTATTAGTATTTTTAAAATGAAATTATTTAGGAGAACTAGATAAAGGGAAGTTGAAATTTCTGGATGCTTTTAGATTAAAGTAGGAAACTAATAAAATATCAACATACGAAATATTAGGAAATGGATTTGGGCCCTAAACTACTTATAATAAAGTTATTTGAACAGGGACAATATTATTTTTAACAAAATTTTTGACAGCTATAACTCTGATACTTCATAAACATAGACGGTTAATAATAATAATACGTTCACAATGTTACAGAGAGTACCCGCACAACATGCAGCTTTGTAACGAGCAATTCAATTTAAATTGTGTATTGAAAACGATCAAGTTCAGCCAACAGATAAAAGTAATAAATGTTCTTATATATTGATTTTCAAAAAGATGAGAACTTCCATTATAAGAATGCAGAAGCGGTTGTAAAAATGTATGCGGAACTTCTGTAATTGTGGAAGCGGAAGCAGAGGTCTATTGCTCCACTATTACGCACCAAGGGAAGAAAGTATGGGTGTGAATTACCGTTTGAAATTTCATTAATGAAACTTTCAAATTTAAGCCCAAAATACATTATTGTAGATCATTCCGATACATAATTCTTTTACCTTAATTCCTTAGTTTACAAAATACAAAATTGGATATCAAAGTTTAAAC